CAGCTCCAGGTTTTTTTGACCTAAGTGATAATCACGATCAATTTTTTCAACCAATCAGATCGTTCTGTAAATCCATCAAGGTAGGCGCTTGAGAACGGCCTAAATCAACTAAATCAAAGAATGATAATATATTTTAATTTATTAATAAAATTTTTTATTTTTAATTAAATCATCGCTCTTTTCGATTTAGTTGATTTAATAAATTTTGTGAATTCTATGAATCCTGAATATTACCATTGTTTTAATAATAGCAACATGCAGGATTCATAGGATTCACAAAATTCATTGAATCAACTAAATCGAAAAGAGTGATAATTTTTTATTTTTAATTAAATTAAATTTTTATTTTTTAAAGGAGCTTTATGAATATTTAAAACCATTTAATACAGCAACTGAAATACTCTCAAAATCTAACTATCTAACAATTGCTGATTTGTGACTTATTATCTCTGGTCTATGTAATCATCTTGATATATTTAGTAATATTCATCCAAATTTAAACTCAGTAACTTATGAGATTAAAGAAAAATTAGATGAATATTAGCTGATTATTCAAGAAGCTAGTAAAATTGCAGCTTTTTTTGATCCTTATTTTAAAAAAATAGTTTACTTTGAACAATCATTAGATGAAATATTAGCTCCAATTCGTGAGAATTTGCCAACAAATTTAAATTCTATAGTTCAACCTTCATACATATCAAGACGACTTCAGTTTATACATGAATTTTCTAGAACATCTACTCAACTTATAACTTCTAATTCTGATGAGCTTATACAATATTAGGAAGCAGTTGCTTCACCTGATGAAATTTTAGTTTGTGATTAGTGGAAGGCTAATCAAGTAATATAGCTAATATGGCTAAAAATTATCTTGCTATTATGGCAACAAGTGTTCTATGCGAACAGCTATTTAGTTTAGCTAGATTAACAGTTACTAAAACATGAAATTCACTTAGTAATGAAACAGTTTGGGCCATATTATGTCTAAAATCTTGGATTACTGAAAATTTATAAATATTTAAAATTTAAATTTTTTTTTTTCTTGTTAGCAGGTTTTTTTTTATTTATGATATATTTTAGTTCGCAAATGTATCAAAATTTATATTTATTTTTTGAAATTTTTTTCATTGAATTTTTTTTTAAATTTTTTGTATAAATTTTTTTTTGATTGACAAATATATATTGATATTTTATAACTTTTAAATATCTATTTAGTATCATAATACAGTTATTATAAAGTGAAAATTATTATTCTCTGTTTCTAAAATGCTATGCTATAGTTTGTAATAAAAAGTTAAATAATAATCTTAATATATATATAGGCTTAAAATTTAATAAAAAACAATACGCTATATATTGAAAAAACTCTTCCTGATGATCACTTGTACTATTTTTTTCACAAAAACTGAACTGTAAATTATAGTTAATATAGCAAGAGTAATTACAAAACTTCTCTATAG